AGAAAAACAAGAAATCTAAGAAGAAACCAGCATGGCTGTACAAAGATTTTTCTGATAAACTTAAAGACAAAAAAGACAAGCACTAAAAATGGAAAGAGGGACACATAACTAAGGCAGAATATCAGCAGATAACCAGAATTTGCAAAGACAAAGTCAGGAAAGCAAAAGCTCAGAATGAACAAAGACTTGCAACAAAAGTCAAATAATTAAAAAAAAAAAGTTTATTTCAACATATAAATAAGAAGAAAAAAAATCAAGGAAACAGTCGGTCCACTAAAGAGAGAGGACGGCAACGAAATAATAGGCAGCAGAAAGAAAGCAGAGCTGCTTAACTAATTCTTTGCATCAGTTTTCATGCAAAAAAGAAATTATAGCCCAACCAATCAAACAACATAACTGAAAAAGACAGACTAGAAATAAAAGTTAAAATAAACAAAAAAATGATAAGAGAACACTTGTCTGATTTTGATGAAGACAAATCACCAGGACCTGATGGATTACATCCCAGAGTTCTGAAGGAGATGGCAGATGTTATCTCAGAACCATTGCACCATATCTTTCAAAAATCCTAGAGCAGCGAGGAACTACCAGAGGATTGGAAAAGAGCTGATGTGGTTCTCATCTCCAAAAAAGGAAAACAACAACAATAACACAGACCTAGGAAACTACAGACCAATCAGCCTGACATCAATACCTGGGAAGATCCTGGAAAAGATAATCAAAAAACAGATCTGCGAACATCTAAAAACAACTCAAATAATAATTAGAAGCCAGCATGGGTTTGTTAAAAACAGATCATGCCAAACCTATCTTATTTCATTATTTGACCAAGTGACTAAATTAGTAGAGAAATGCTGTGGCATTGGACAAAGTAGACCACAATCTACTTCTTGGAAAGCTAAAAAAAAGTGGGATAGATAGCATCACCATCAGATAGTTTTGTAACTGGCTGACAAACTACTCGTACTCAACCAGTAGTCCATAATGGTACTATGTCTACATGAAGGGAAGTAAGCAGGGGGGTACCATAAGTTTCTGTCTTAGGCCTAGTACTCTTCAATATCTTCATAAAATATTTAGATGAGGGACTAGAAGGGGAACTTATCAAATTTGCAGATGATACTAAGTTGGCAGGAATAGCCAACACCCTAGATGATAGGCTCAAGATCCAGACTTGAACACTGGGCCCTATCTAACAAAATGAAATTTAATGTAGAGAAAAGTAAAGTCTTACACTTAGACAAGAAAAACCAAAAGTACACATATAGATTAGGTGAAACCAGGCTTAATAGCAGTAACTGTGAGTGGGATCTTGGAGTCTTAGTGGACAATCTATTAAATATGAGCCAACAATGTGCAATGGCAGCCTAAAAAGCCAATGCAATCCTAAATTGCATTAACGGAGGGATTCAATCAAGATCACGTGAGGTACTAATACCACTCTATAAATCCTTAGTAAGACCACACCTAGAAAACTGCAACCAGTTTTGGTCTCTATACTATAAAAAAAGATGTTGAGATGCTAGAAAAAGAGCAACAAAGATGATTAGGGGACTGGAGGCTAAAACATATGAAGAACAGTTACAGGAACTGGGCATGACTAGCCTAGTGAAGAGAAGGACCAAGGGGGACATGATTAGCAGTGTTCCAATATTTGAGGGGCTATCACAGAGAGGAGGGGATCAACCTATTCTCCAAAGCACCTGAAGGCCAGGCAAGGAATAACAGATTGAAACTGATCAAGGAGAGATTCAACCTAAAATAAGGAGTAACTTTCTGACAGCGAGAACAATCAACCAATAGAACAGTTTTCCTTCAGATGTTGGGGAGCTTCATCACTGGAAGCTTTCAAGAAGAGACTGGACTACCATTTGTCAGAAATGGTGTAGGGTCTCCTGCTTGGGTGGGACTAGATGACCTACAAGGTCCCTTCCAACTATGTTATTCTAATATTTAAGACAATTTGCTCAGATTCCTGACAAATGCCTTATAATTTTCAATCTCCTCTTACAGTATAAATATATCTCATTTCATTGGTATTTATGTAATTGCAAATAAATAATAATGAGTAACTTCAGGAACGAAGAATCAGCGAATATAAATACGCTTCATCACTGCATTTTTAGAAAACAGTAGAATGCTAAAACAAAGAGGAATATATTGTGTTTGTTTTGTTTCCTTTCTCTTTGTTTGCTTTCTGAAATGATGCTAACATTTAATTTTTCTGTAATTGTTTATCTGTAATCTTGTTAGACTTGTTCTTTAAAGTCATAATGGGAGATTGGAGGGGGATTTACTGCTGCATGAAAAATAAACACAGATACACAGAGAGCAAATGTCAAATGCCATCTAAAGATGTCAAAATATTATGACATTTTCTATTGATGTATTCACTAATGAATAAACTCTCACTTTCAGAATTCAAAAAGGCAAGTAAACAGTCCTTCTGTAGATCATGCTGAAAGGCCCCAAAGATATGTGGCTTGGATTAATCCATGAATTGGCAATAGTTAACTTTCTGCATTCCAAATACCTGCCATATGCAGCATATTGCCATCTGCTACCTGAGGGAAGGCTGGTTAGGATGATAGCAGAAAATGGCAAGTTAACTTAAGTGTCTTGGGATCAAATGGATGAGAACACAAATGCCTCTTTTCTGGCATTATGCTGCAGTCTCAACATGTGTTGGAAATGTCTCAAGATTGGTTTTTCATATCAACTTTTATTAAAAAAATAACTATGGATTTAGCTCTTTGGAGCTATTATTTAATAAAAATAAAGATATTTTATCATTTTCTCTATTTCTATATCAATGTAATATGAATTAACCAGAATGAACTGGTTAAAAGTTATAATTAGCAATTATTCTTTAGCTAGCTATTTTTTTTAACTATCTTCTGATATGATATCTGGTTTAATGGTATTCCAAGGAATCAGATAAAGAAGTAAAACTTACCCAACTACAGTGAGTTAAATAAATTGGGTCCAGATTGATTTAAAGACTATATTTTATTGACTTGTTATTACAGAACATAAATCAAAGCAAATCATATACAACAGTGGTTCTTAACTTGTGGTCTGTGGGCTCCCGGAGGAGCCGCAATGTTGTCACAGGGGGTCCGTGAAGGCTTAAGGCAGTCTAGTGCTTTAAATCTTGAGTTAGGTCTTGGGGTCTGTGGCCATGGTCCATGGCCACAAAAGTTATTTAAAGGGGGCCCATGGGGAAGAAAAGGTTGAGAATCACTGATATACAATAAATGGGTAACATAAATTATCAATATTTAAATAAATGAAATAAATAGGTGCTCATCTATCTTTCCACAGGACCATCTGCTGGTAATTTCTAACATATAAAAATACTGGTTCTGTATCCATAGCTTTTTCTATACACATTGATTAAATGCCTTAAATATGTATAATATTTTGTTCTATTAAAGGGAATAGTGAAATATCTTATTAATTTATAAAAAAAACTATACACAAACAAACATTTTTTCAGTGTATTAAAAAAATATAAATAGCAAGCTTTTCCCCTTCTTATAAAAAACTTCCTTAATATCCAGGATGCTAAATATCAGGCACCAAGCAATGAAGCATACATTACTTCTGAAAATTGAAAATAAATGTTGACAAAAAGCCTTGAAGAATTTACTAATATACACTATTGCTTTGACCACTCTATTACAAAGTGTTCTTTTAAATACAGATCCAAGATGAATTTGTGTTTTGAAATACAAAACATTTCTTTCACCACTGTATATGGTCCATTTTCATATATAAAAATAAAATGTAATATGAATCCAACTTGATGAGAAACAAAAATATTATCTATACATAATGCCAAGAATTATTCTCAAATAGTAATAGATGTCTTGTATGTAATCCCACAACTACCATTTGAACCCCACTGGCATTGACAAATTCACTATCAGTCAATTGCAAAAGGCAGCCTTACTTGGAACAACTTACATCTTGTGACACTATCAAACATCCACATCTGCCTATCCCAGGTCCTTGGGAAGGATTCGATAGGTAGACAAAAATGCCAAATCCAGTTTGAACATTTGGCTGACTAGGTGGTGAACTGTAATATTATTTATGCACAGCTGTAAGTACATTTAGATTTCTGAATGAAGTTCAGCCCAAACCAAACAATTAGCATTTCTTTGACTTAGATGAAATAACAGACTTCAACTGTCAATTCAGATCATTCATTAAAAAAAAAAGCTGTTGAGAATGAAATACTGATAACCTTTTTATCCTGAATTAATAATCCAAAATTTTATTTTTCTTTCTTTTGCAATATAATATGAAGAAAAACTAAAAAATCAAGTTCCAAGATGAGTGAAATTCATTTTCTGTTTTTCTAGGGAGTGAAACAATTTGAACTGGGAGAGAACTATAAATATAATTCTTATGCATATCATATTTATTTGTTTGTTTTTATTTATATATAAAATTTAAAGACACACATTAAATCGCCCACATTCATCATACATTTAATATAAATAAAAAGTTGTTTTAAAAAACAACAACAGCAAATGTCACCAGTTATAGCAATTTCTCAAATTATGTATCTTTATTTAAAAAGAAAACAAGAAGCTAAAATACAGGAATACTTAATTTTGTAGTCGATTTCCTATTGGTAATTAACATTTTGAAACAGAAGTGCATCATCTCAATTCAAAACATTGTGTTCATGTCAATGCAAAATATTATTGTGGGGGAAAATTACTGTATAATAGCAGTCTTCACCACAACTTGCCACAAACTACTCATAAAGGACATATTTCCATACACGGATGTGTGAAAAATTTAATGATATTTTGATAATCTTATCAAGATCAACAAACATCCAAAATACATTTCAAAGCAACCATTCATCTCTTTTTCCTAAGCCAAATTTTCCAGACATTTTGTTATATTTGTTGCATTTTTTATTACCAAAATGTTCTTTAATACAGTTGAAACATTCCAAAAGATACGAGAAAGAATTTTACCTTGCGGATTCCTCTGCTCAGTTCTTCTCCGTAGTTTGTCCCTAGGATCTCAAACAGAACATTGGGGTTTCCGCCATTCTCTGCAAATTCCAGGTCTCCGGTCAAGCCATTCACTCCACCCTGAATGCATTAAAAACAAGAGGGAGAAAACTTTCAGATGTATATATTTCAAATATAGCTTCCTGTCCTCACTCACAACATAATATAGACATTCAACGCTCATTATGCAAAATGTTTTATGCATCTGTGAACTCTTAATAACTACAAAAGTAGAATAACAACCTGAAGAAATGTAAAATAGTTGCAATATTTTTAATATATTGGCTATTCCTTTCATTTACTTTTTTATGCTTCCTTAAAAAAACAACACCTGTGAAAACACAAAGGTAATGTGTCTAATGTATGTACGTATGTAAGGAGTTTCTATAGCCGCCCATCTCAGTCAATGACTCTGGTAGCTTACATCCAAATACTTAGTTTCCAGTACTCAATCTGATCAGTCATGTATAACACAGGCAATTGTTGAAGCCTCTACAGAAAACAACATTTGATTAAGTTAATGAAGGGATCACATTTTGTGAATATTAAAAGCATGAATATTTTTCTGAGCAGGTAGAAAGATCCACGTCCTCTGGTAGGCTAGCTTGTATTTAGAAATGGATTGCAACACCCACCTTTGAACTAGATCTGTCAACTATCTAAATGTGTCCCACATGGTATAAAAGAGACTACTGCACAGATTTCAATAAGTCTGTAAAAAGTAGATTAGAAAAAAATGGTTGTCTTCTTAAAATAGTCTAATATTTTTTCTAAAAGAAGAGAATCTCATGAAAAATATTGCATAAACAAATCAATAGTGTTGCATTTATTTGCTTGTATACTCTATCAGTACAGGTAGTCCTTGACTTACAACAGTGACTGTTCAAAGTTAGAATGGCAGTGAAAAAGCGATTTATGACAGTTTTTCACACATATGACCATTCCAACATCTCCATGGCCACATGATCAGAATTCAGATGTTTGGCAACTGATTCATATTTATGATGGTTGTAGTGTCCTGGGGTCATGTGATCAGCTTTTGCAACTTTCTGACAAGCAAAGTCAATGGAGAATCCAGATTCATTTAACAACCATGTTACTAACTTAACATAGGTAATGATTCACTTAACAACTGTGTCAAGAAAATTCGTAAAATGGGTCAAAACTCACTTAACAAATGTTTTACTAAGCAACATAAATTTTGGGTTCAATTGTGGTTGTAACTTGAGGACTACCTATATCTTTCCTGTTAAGCACAGTGCACCTAGAATCCAAAACTTGATTTTTCCAAAATGAAGCCTAATTAGTTAGGATAAAAAATAACTTTTGTGTCTCCTATTTCATAAACCATCACTATCCATCACCAACAATGAGCCAGAAATCGGAACGAGGACTTAGATTTATGGAGCATTCTTGAGATAGAGGGAAAATAGCATCCACAGCTCCTTTTTCCATAAGGCACATGAAAAAAAGACTTGGTTTTTGTCAATAACTTAAATAAATGTGACTGAGAAAACCTAGAGGGCAGTTAAATGTAATAATGTGGCATCATTTTTCTTTAGAGTGTATTGTTGGTATCAGCCTTACTTAATAATTCACAAAGATTACAAATGGAATGGCACCGCTATTATTTCATGTGATTGCCCCAGTCAACATTACTTGAAGTGTCTTTACCGAATAATGGGGAAATTGTCAGATGCTTGAATAATGAAAATAGGGAGTTTTTAAACTCAAAGCACCTTGATAGATTCCAATTAGAATAACAAAGGAATGGTAAAAATGATCTAATTTGTTATATTTTTCCCAGTTTTGAGATATCAGAGCAGATTTCTATTTTGCTCAAATGGGATTTGTGATGATCTTTACTTTTATGAATTTTCTAGACCTGATGGATAATCTACAAGTAACTTGTGCTGATTCCTTCTTGTAGTAGGTTTATTCCTATAGTATATATTCAGATTAGATTCCATTTAAAGTTCATATTGTAACCCAAATGGTATACATAGGGCTGACCAGATCATACAGGTGATAAAACATTTAAATGTTTATAAGAAAGAAACACCGTTGAACTACAAACCTTATACAAGCAGTCCTTGACTTATAACCATTCATTTAATAACAATTCGAAGTTACAACAGCACTGAGAACAATATTTTATGATCCGTCCTCATATTTATACTTGTCATATGATCAAAATTCAGGCACTTGGCAATGGGCATGTACTGTATTGATGATGGTTGCAGCATCCTGGGCTCATGGGATCGCCATTTGCAACTTTCCTAGATGGCTTCCAACAAGCAAAGTCAATGGGGAAGCTGTTTTCGCTTAATGACCACATGATTTGCTATCAACTGCAGTGAATCATTTAACAACAATGGCAAAAACATCATAAAATTGGGCACGACTCAATTGCCTTGCTTAGCACCAGAAATTCTGATCCTAACTGTGGTCATAAATCAAGGACTATCTATATGACATATGACAAGTCCTTTAAAAAAAACAGCAAGCAATCATGTGATTAACATGAATACAGATTGCTGTGTAGTGTTGTGTGGTGACTACATTTCAGAGTTCCTAGAGTTTCATACTGGATTTGATGTTCATAAATTTTGGAAAACTGAGCTAATCCCCAATCAAAAGGCTACAAAATATATCATACTTAGATAAACACTGGCTTGAATAATCTTTTTGAATATTCCACTGAATTTTTAATTTAAAATGTATTCAAATGCATTGAAACAGTGCATATTGAAATAAATGCAATAATGGATTTTGGGGGGGAAATGCATTTGGAAACACAGAGTTTGAGATGGAAAACTGATTGCCTATTTAAACATATATACAGTAGCCATGAATGAACGTTTCCCATTCAGAAGGGCACAGGGGTTTTTCTAAAAACATTTGCCACCATTAAAAACCCAAATTTGCAGTCCAAATCAATTATCCTTCAAATTGTTTAAATCATGCTGCATTTCCATCCCTGAGAGCTGCAATTACTGAATTGTAATTGCTTATCTAGGGGCACTATGGCCGTGTGGCATGTTTCCATTTATTTTAATGGTTCCGGATTGTATCTTAGTCAGTAATACAATCTAATCATGTGGAAATTACAGTTTCTCATTGCTAAATAACTATATGAATATTAAAAATGGGTGATCTCTGCCTGATTGCAATTTGAGTTGTCTGCTAGTTTCTACCAGTTAAAAACAAAACAAGAAATTTAGCAGAATTTAATAGCTGGAGTCACCTGTGTGTGCTATGCTTTATAGAGAGAGGGGGGAAAGGTCGTGGCGAGGCTGTAAATGCAGAGGGAAAATTAGCCAGAGAACTGTCTGAAGTCCTGAATCTTCAGAAACTCCAATTATTATTTATGCAGTACACGAGCTGTGTGTTTTTGACAAACTAAAAATGGAAGGAAAAGCATTAAAAACCCAAAGCCCGGAGGTAATAGTCTGAAACCAGAAAAGAGATTAGAAATTGATTATTCCCACTTAGAAAGTGGGAAAGGAAAGGGAAGGCTAGAACCTGTACAAATCTTTATTTCTGACTGCTGAACTTTCGGGCAAGTGAAGCTCCAGACTTTAGAGCTGGTTTTATCTATCAAACACAACCTAGCCCCCTAGAGTAATTTAAGAAGCAAAATCGCTGAAGATTTATTGTTTTTATAAATGGTTGATGGACAGACAGGCAAGCATACAATCCAATTTTTGTGATATTCTGAACACATTGTCATTAGTATTGACTATAATAGAGCTTATCTGGATAATACTGTTTTCATAAAAATCGATATCTTTCTAATCTTTACTAAATCCTGCTAGATATACACACATAATAGAAATTGGGGGGGGGGGAAATGGCAATGTTAGGAGTAGAAAAAGTAGAACAAGCCTAATAGGGTTATATGAAGAGACCAAATAACGCTTTGGATACCCTGGGCAAGACAACCACTGGTGGTTTTTCATATTTAGATAGCAAGTGTTAGTCTTCAAAAGCTGCAGGATAAATGAAGAAATCCCCGCATCCTTCAAAATGGTTGAGGTCACCTTCTACTCAATAGAGAAATAGGGAATAAATATATCGGGCTAAAAAAAAGAAGAAGAAAAAAGGAATGGGAGGCAGCTCTCAAGCTGTGGCAATTTCATCTTACTCTCTCTAATTGAAGAGTGCCATCAAAATGAGTCTGAAAAAGAAATTTCAGTGTACAGCCATTTTGATACAAGCCACTTTGAACAATTGCAATGTTTTAGATCTTTCTCACACATAGAGAAGGTAAAGGAGTGTGGTGCACTCAGTTACTTGATGACTTGATTCTAAACCTGGATGAAAATTTTGTTCCAGAAGGGAAAGTGATAATGCAGGATGAGGTAGAGTTGTTGAGGAATTAATTCATGAAAGCTGAGCTACTTTGGCTCTTGTTCAGGATTTCAAAAACAAAGGAAGCAATTAAAACAAAATGAAGTTTGCTTATCCTCATCTGAAGATGCATCTGGTGTACATTAATTCTTCTGTATGTTAGTATGCATGTATGTATTTAGTTACAAAGTTTTGACAATGATGCAAAGTCTATGTGTAAGTTTATGCAATTTTCTGACATTTCAATCCAATCAGACTCTAGACCAGACATGTCAAACTCGCAACATCATGTGACGTCATGCAATGTATTGGGAGAGTTTTGCCATTGCCGGCAATGGGGTGGGTGCGGCTTCCGAATGACACGTCTGGCCCATGGGCTGGCAGTTTGACACCCCTGCTCTAGACAATGTATAGATGATGATATCAGAAAATAATGTAATACAATACAGTAATTTTGTTATCAATTGATCCACAGCTCCACAATTGCTCTTCAAAGACCTTCTGGAAAAGACACTGTTCACCACCTTCTGGGATGTCCTAAGACTGAAGGCGATCCTCTCTGAAGAGGGATTGGCTATTCCATTGGAAGACATCTACTCAAAGATCATCAATGGAGTCCCACCTGTCACACCTCCAGAATGACATGGACATTTTGTAGGCATTCTCTGGCCCTCTGAGTCAGGCAAACAGAACTGATCCTGTAAAGCTTGTCTCAGATATCCAGGCCACTAGTCTTATGCCATAATTAATATTAAAGAATAGGAAAGTGTCCACGTTTTTGGAAGATACATAGGTTGAAAAACCGGAATGGAAAAACCTTGAAAGTCAGCCCGATTACAAAATCTCTTTATGAATAATCAGTTCAGAACTTCAGCCAAAATAGTCTATTTCTTTTTCAGCAGGACATCAAAGAAGAAACCAAGGCAGAAAGGCATAGGGCAGGGAAAGAGAAAAAAAGAAGGAAGTGAAGGAGCATCAAAAGAAGGGATGAGTCTGAGAGAAAGAAAGAGAAAAGGCAACAGCAAAACGAAAGCGGTAACACTTGCCATCCTAACTGGGGACTGATCCTACTGATTGGTCTTTTCATATCTGGACACTGCACTATCTGCATGCAAAATCAGACATATCATTCCCTAGAAGATGAAACCATTGACATATTAAGAGACTTCTAGCCTTGCTATAAAGAAGGATTCCCGGAGGCTGTAACAACGCAGTAACACATGATAGGTAAATAGCAAGGCAAAGCCATGCATTTTGCTAGGCAAAGTGTGCAGTTATCTCACTTGCTTCTGTTTACATTAAAAAGTTGTCACTCTGCAGCTTGTGTTTAGATGCTTTCCTTAAAACTAGAGTTACATAACAATTACAGGTAGTTCGTGACTTACAAATGGTTGCTTAGACTTCCCTCAAAGGTACTTATGGCCCGGTTTCAAAGTTCTGACATCTGCTCCCACCCCATAGTCATGTGACCACATTTTGGGTGCTCAGCAACTGGCCCACATTTATGGCTATTTCCAGCTCTCCATGGTCCACATGACTGCAGTTTATGACATCTTTGCCATAAACCAGCATTTACTTCTGGCTTCCAGCCAAAACCATTCAATAGTGAACAATGGGTTCATTGAACGACCACAGCCTTTGCTATATGACTATGGCATTCACTTTATGACCACTACAAAAAAAGATCACAAAATTATGTTTGGTCATGTGATGACTTGCTTCACAATAATGACTTATGACCATAATTGCAGGCCTCAATTATGATCGTAACTCGAGGACTATCTGTATAATGTTAAATTCTAACCCAGTGCCAATTATCTCGACTTGTGATTTCTCAGATGTTCTTTTTCTTTGCAGAAAAGTATCTTTCTGTATGTTATTCTCCAAGTCCTTGAGATTTTTTTTTCATCTTCTTAGTGTTGCTTGTAATATTTACATGGTTATTGGAAATTGCAAAAGGTATTAATGCTGATTTTTCTTCTCAATCTGAATAAAGGCCAATAGAAGGAATTTCCTTTGAGAATGAATTGAAATTGATAGCCAGGGATCACGGAATAGAGGTTGTACAATGAAAGGACATTCACACCTATATAGACTTTGGGCAACTCATAACAAGATAAGAGCATTCTCCTTTTGAAAATCTCACTGCAATTGTGTTCTTTGAAATAAATGCATATAGGAAATTTTCTTTCCTGAATGAGAACTGGAAAGACAAAAGCGGTTTGTTCTCTACATGGCACTAATGAAGTACCTCAACACTTAAGACAGATTGTTCGTTTCCTTTATCCCTTTTTGCTGCTTTAAAGGTGTATGTAGCTGGTCATTGTTTCTGCATTGTGGGGAGAAATTAATCATTACTCTGAATAGCAGTCAAAAGGATACTTTTGTTTTCTTAACCTTATTTTCCAAAGGGTAAAAATATCAGAAAACAGGCTGAAAAAGTTTGTGAAGAAAAAGGATTTGTAGAGTGTATATGTGTATTTACATACAAGGCATGCTATATTCCAGTGGTGGCGAACCTATGGCACGCGTGCCAGAGGTGGCACTCAGAGCCCTCTCTGTGGGCACGTGCGCCATGCCCCGGAGATGGCAACTGTCTCTCTTCAACCAGCCGCCTGCTAACTCGCCGAGGTCCCACGTGGCCGGATGCATCCCGGCACGGCTGGTTTCCCTCCCCCCTGTCCCGTTCCTCCTGGTCTCACATGCTCTCCTTTTTCCGGGCACGACCCACTGCATCACCTCCTCAGCTGTCGGCTGGCCATCCCGCTCAGAGGCAGTTTCTTTGAACTGCTGGCGGGCTGCGGAGCCCCAGAGTGCGCTGGTTGAGGGGCCAGCAGGCTGTATTTGTTGGCCCCCATGCACTCACTGGCCTCTGTGTGCAGGGGCCAATGGTGTCAGGCAGCATCCATCCCAGCCCTTGCCTTGCCCCATGGCAATGGCACTCCTGCCCTGCCTCACCTCACCCCGCAGGACAAGCCTCCTGCCTCCTGCCCCACCTGCCAGAGACCCCTGGATCTCCAACCCTGTTCAAGCCCCCACAGGCGTCCCTCCCCACGAGCAACATAGAAGTGACCATGCCCACCTTGGCCACACCCACCCAATCTGCCATGACCACCACAGCCATGCCCACCCAGTGGGCCATGCCCACCTGGCACCTGGCGATAAATAAGTGGGTTTTGGGTTGCAGTTTGGGCACTCGGTCTCTAAAAGTTTCGCCATCACTGATCTATTCCCTTTCAGGGTTTTGCAAGGAACAAATGTAAGCAGAAGAAATTCAAACGAGGGGATAAGAAAAAAAGAAAAAGAAATTTAATTAGTTTAACATTTTTCTCCTTTTATTCATTCATTCTTGAACTTATCCCTATATATTGCAAAACCCAATTCACAAGTAGTCCAATCTCCTTGCATTAAACTTAGTTTAGGTTCCTTCTCATATATTCAATTATTTTTTGTCTAAGAAAGTGGGCAGGAGTACACTCTTTATAATTTTTTGACAAACACTTTTTCCTAACAACGTACCACAAACTGTCTGTCTACCAGCATTTGGATGTCATTTTTTTTGCATCAGTTTCCTTATATTTAGTAAACATTTTACCACGAATCACAAAGATACCTACTTTTCTTTTTGTTACCATGTATGTATAATGTAAGCATTCTATTTTTCATCTGAAATATAATTGTCTTGTATATTACATTAATTTTCAGATTAATTTCTCTGGCATTATACAATTTAACTAGCATTCATTGCAAATTGTTTAGGATCCCAGCTAATTAAACAGCATCAATTACATAAGAAATACACAACATTCATATCCCAACCACATACCTCAAGGGTCAGCTCAATTTAGCCATAAAAATATAAAAAAAGTCACAACTTTCTAATGTTCATAAACACAATTAGCATAAATATTTATGATATGTAGATATACATCTATATAATGATTCAGTGACATTGTAATTGTCAGGTTTCAGCATTTTAATAATTACCGTAATAATACAAATTATGAAGTACTGAAGCTCACTTTTCTCAGAAAGATGGATTAGCCTAGCTACTTCATTAAACTAACAAAACCAGCAAGCTTTAAAAGATTTTGTAGAACTATTGTTTAAGAATACCCCCCATATTTTCTTATGTACTGAGGCATTTAACACCATTACTGCCACCACCAACAACAAAATCCAAACCAATTTTTAAGCATTCACATCTAAAATTGGATCAGATGTCAACAACATGAAAGAATAATAAATGCTCTATGTGGATCTTAGTGCCACAGAAACTCAGACTGCCTTCCTGTTTATTAGTGAATTACCAGTGGCTGAGGGATGTGGCAATGAAGATTTTGCTGTTGACATTCTGTACTTATTGTTTTAATTCTTACTTTTTTTGTAATGCTTCCATGTTTGCCTGGATTGCGAAAAATGATAGATAACCAGTGGGATGACATATCCTTAATTGTTGGATACATATATGTGTATATTCAAAGGATAAACTCTAAATATTAGATTTTCTACTGAATGCCAATTCAGCGATACTGTCTATAGGTAGTTCTCGACTTATGACCACAATTGATTTCCATTGCTAAGTGAGACAGTTGCTAAGTGAATTTTGCCCCATTTTACGACCTTTCTTGCTACAGTTGTTACTGCAATTGTTGAGTTAGCAGCATGGCTGTTAAGTGAATCTGCCTTCCTCGTCGACTTTGCTTGTCAGAAGGTTACAAAAGGTAATCACATGATTCCATGACACTGCAATTGTCATAAATGTGAGCTAGTTGCCAAGTGTCCAGATTTTAACCATGTGACCATGGGAATGGTCATAAGTGTGAAAAATGGTGATAAGTCACTTTTTTCAAGTGCTGTTGTAACTTTGAACAGTCACTAAATGAATGGTTGTAAATCAAGGACTACCTGTACTTATCTGCTTTTAGACCCAGGAGCATATATCTATGGCCGGTAGACACTCCTATAGGACAGTCTGGTCTGATTGATGCACCTTGGTTTTTGTAACTGCTATATTGCAGTTCTACTATTATGATCACTTTTGCTTTGCCTCGGCTGACAAAAGAGGGGAGGAGAGCCAGTGGCCTGGAGGTTAATACATCTGCCTAGTATGTAGGCTGCCTAGGTTTGAATCCCATAAGGGTATGGCTAGCTGATGAGAGCTAAAAAGCTTGAAATAGCTATTCTAGTCTCCCATTTAATTCTTTAACTCTTTGTCAACAAAAAAAGAAATATATATACACACACACACATTTTAGACCTGTGCAGATCATTCACAGGACACATTGCTATATGACTATCATATAAGAGTGTCTACTGGCCACACACACACACACACACACAAAGTTGTAAAAGACAACTGAACCATTTCTGAATTCACCAACCATATAGTAAAAGGCATATGTCTTAACAAAACTCATATGTATTTCATCAACAGATACAATTCATTAACTATATAAAAACCTGACCTCCTGCTGAAACCCAAGCCTCATGATTTAAAGTACCTTCTTGATTGTATCCAGCATAGATCTCCCTCCTTGCCAGGGTTTTGAATTCTTCCTAATGCATGTCAAGCTAGCCATACTGTGCCATTTTCGGTCCTCCAGCTTCTTATGAAAAGCATTTGCCAACAACAACACGGTATCGTATATGTAAAGGTTGGTAATCTGTCAAAGAGATTAAGAATTGATTATAAGTAACTAGCGCAGAACTCAGAGGCAGTTTGTCTCAGCTGTCACCACTCAAGCTTTCATGAACTTAAATGTAATATCACCACAATAGATTGCCTCACATTTTACAAACCACTGGGGCCCAGAGGCTGTTACGTGATTACTAGTTAATTCAGTTTGCATTTCATAAGTGAAGGCATGTTTCTGGCTGCTACTTGAAATGTTACACTTTTTTAATCCAAGGGTTATTTCAATGCATGTCAAGGATTTTATAATGTCTTGATAAGGACTGGTGTCAGGTATACTCATATATGAACAACTGCATACAACTTGTTGTCCAGGTATAAGTCCTCACTGCACCAGGACATCCTTCTGATTTCCAAATGCAGTTAAGGAGTATAATAATAATAACAACAAAAACAACAACAGCAGCAGCAGCAGCAACAACAACAACAACAACAATAATAATAAAGTTGGAAGGGACCTTGAAGGTCACCTAGTCCAACCCCCTCCTCAGGCAGGAAACCCTATACCATTTCAGACAAATGGCTGTCCAGTCTCTTCTTAAAAACTTCCAGGGTTGGAGCATTGGATGACAAACTTCTACACATCCTCAACTGTGAGTTTCATGTTTCAGATTAATATTCCAAACAGGTACAGTATTTCAAAAAAGGCTTTCCCAAAGGTATCCTCTATATCCAAGGTCTAACATTCTGACATATGTATGTTTCATGTACAGAAACACACAGAGAGTATGTGTCTCTGTACATGCAATTCCAACCATACATTTTGACCAGATAGAGAGAAGCCATTTCAGACCAGAAAATTATCAATTTATCAAATTAGTTTTTTGTTTGTTTGTTTTGGTTTTTCTTTTTTAAAAAAAATCATTATTGTACATTGGAGTAAAATCCATGTTCACATTTTTTTTATGTGCTTGAAGCTAAACGTTCAGAATGAGAAGCATGTCAGTAGTCTAAATATGTACAGTTCTCTGTAAATGAATGAGCTTCTCAACCATTTTAATATTTGAGCCATTTTAATACTTCAGCATAGTTTTTTTCTTTTTTTAAAAAAAGTAATGCCTTTATATAAGAAATGGTAAAGAATATTGTAGGCATTTAGAATTTACAGTTAGGTCCATAAAAGGAATTTCTAGGTTGTGATGGACAAACCACAACCAACAATTTAAATACATATAGTCCTTAAATCAACTTTCTTTCTATAAACAATCACTTCATTTTAGAAAAGGAAAGAAGAGAATGTGATTATAAGAGAGGAAGAGAAAAAAGAATGAAAGAGAAAGATCGGCTTGGAGCATCATATAGTTTTTAGCAACTTCTGCCTAAAAGGATAGAATAGGAACAAAAGCTCTTGATATGAATAAACAAAAAAAATGAAAAAAAATATGAAAAAAATCTTCCTGCTAGAGCTCAGAGAACAGGCAATGAAAAGTTTCTGGGCTACCCAATGCTTATCATCATCCTAATTTATACATGGTCTTTGTAGAATTAATCTTTAAAAAATGAAGCATTTTGTCTTTTGCATTAAGCAAGCAAAGTCATTAAGGTCACTGGCAGCTTCTCCCAATAAAATGATTAAAAAAGCAATTCCTTAGTTTAGACAAATACTGAGACATTCTCACAGTTCACGCTGATTCATATATTGGGTCTAATGAATAAAGGTTATGAATAAGGTCTCTCACAAATTACTGTGAACAAATTATACCTATCTTCAACTTCTTAAAGCTGCCATATATTTTGCAACGTTTGCATGACTTCGAAGATAAAAAACTTCAGTTTTGGAAGCAGCCAAATAAGCCTTGCAAAAGATGTGCTACTTATATGATTCATGCAGAAGTGTTTGCTCATGCTAATGGCCCTTGTGAAAAATGTTTTTTTTTAATGCTCTGCACAACTTCATCATATAGCCATGCATTTAAAATCATTCTTATGCAGATGGTCTTCAATTTACAATCAATCATTTAATAATCTGATGTTATGATGTACCCCACAAAAGCTACTTATGACCCGCTTTCAACGTTATGACAGCTGCTGTACGTATACACACACACCCTACTTGTGGTCATAGGATCACATTTTGGGCACTTGGCAACCTGCTCATCCTGCAGGCACGTGACTGCAATTCCTGATTATTATTTTTTTTGCTAGTTTCTGGCATTTACTTCCAGTTTCCAGCAAAAAAATGGCCATTAGGGAATATTGATTTGCTTAATGACAGCAGTGCTTACTTAAAGACCACTGCTTTTGCTTAATGACTACTGCAAAAAATGTTGAAACATTGGATCTTGTCATCTGATGCCTCAACTTAGGACCACAATGATTTATAGGTAAATCTGGGCTTAATTACAATTGTCTGTTGAGGACTACCTATATTTCTTCACTCAATATTAAAAAAGACAATTGTTGCCAAGAAATAGATATTTTTAGTCTTTATGTATACTGTAGATGAGCACTTGTGTCATTGTCAATCACCAGGAATTCATGTATGCTAATTTATTTTACGTTAATTTTTATATCTCAATTTTCCCCCTGTGACTTTAGAATACTGTATTAATCACAGTGACCTCAAAGCATATTATATTTTGGGAATTGGAATTCTGCTTCATATATTTATTGTGGTCACATGTAATCAAAAGTGGTTGCTTAATGTCCTGTATAATTCAGCAAAAGGCAATTGATTTAATGTGCATTTTAATATGCAATTTTTTAAGAGGTTTCAGAGTGGTGGATAGCGGGAACAAATGGAATGGAATCGAATAGAATGGAATGGAATGGAGCAGAATGGCACTGAATAGAATAGGCAATGAAAGGAGCAGTTTTTATGTTTGCTTTTTCAAACACTTCAGAAGAAACAGAGAGAGAAAAAAATCTGTAGATTGATTCTTGAAGTTTTGGTGTGGGAATTAGCCATGGATAAAGATAGGATTGGTGACAATCTGCTTTGGCTATGTTTGATTACATTGCTTGGGATTATACTGGTTTAGTTCACCATACACCTGAGGTTTACCGTAGTTACCTCAGAGCAGAACTGAACAGTTGAAACTACTATTAGTCAGTGAGCTGGACATAGTGATGATTTTGTCATATGTTATCTATATTTATCACATTCAAAAGATCTGCCAGCAGAGTTAGTTTTTCAATATATATATACTATCCTTATAAGTACTAATCATACCAGAATTTAGAAGCAGAGTCTAATGTATGCACAACAGAAAAGAGAGAAATGAAATGGATACTTAAGATTGAATAAACAGGGCAAAAGAGGTATGAAAAGGTGTTGGTGGAATTCCCCCAAAATCTAAGATTAAGTCTTAAAAACCTAGTTTAATCCTAAAATTATTCCTATAGATTTGGCAAAAAGGATAATTATAGTCAGGCTTTAGAATTAACAGAACAACCAAATAAAAGAGTTGTAAAGGACTTTGGAGGTCTTCTAGACCAACCCCCTGCTGAAGTCCCACTTCATGCTTCCCTCCATGTAGATGTAGTTCCATTGAGGACTTCATGCTCTATGCAGTTTGTCAGCCAGTTATGAATCCATCTGGTGATGAAGCTGTTTATCCCCCATTTTTCGATTTTACCAAGAAGTAGGTTGTGAAGACATGTATCAATATATTCCCTCCCTCCCTCCCTCC